TAGACATTTCGGCAGACTAAATATCAAATGTCGAAATATTTCTACAAGCATAAAACAATTTCGGCTAACAACATTAAGCTGGACCAGTACTGAACTAGTCCCAACTAGTCCAGGACCATTAAACATCCCTAAAAGAAATCACAAGCTTTCACTTCAACTCATAGTCTTAAATAATGTAGTGTTGCATAAATTGCATTAAACTTATCAAAATGATGTAATAATGAAGTATACTTGCATACCGAAAATGTGTACAAGGTTGTGCTCCGGATAATCATGTGATGGTCCCGTAATTGAACAAATCTCGATTTCTTAATATCAGATCTATGTTATAGAGTCGACTTTCCTTTGCACTGAACTTTTAGTTACTATTATTTTTTATATCTTTATTTGCGCACAACATTAAAGAAAATAAAAATAAATAAATAAATATTTATTTGATCTACTAATTCTACCTCAAATTCTTTAACATTAAATCAAACTTGCCTAATAATTATGCAACAAAACATGAGATTTATTTATTCGCTAAAAGTTCTTTAATAACTTATTTGTATTTTTGTAAGGAATTTTTCTTAGTTCTTTAAATCATCTTTAACGTTACTTTAATTATTACAAATAAATTATAGTCAACTCTTTCTATAACGAACTGACGTACTGAAAAAAAAAAGTCATTATAGAGGTTCGTCATACTGTATAGAGTCTGTCATATATAAAAAGAAATTTATTGAATAAAATTAAGTTTTTAGTTTTTTAAACAAAAATTTTTTTCATTTAAATAAAATATACAAATCTATTAAATAAAAGTTTCTATATTAACATATTCGTCAAAAGAATTTACAGTATTTTCAAATTACAAACAATACGTACGTACGTAAGTTTATTAATAACTGATAATTGAGAAATTTAGAATTCCGGAGTAGTCATCCGAACCGACATCCGGAACGCAACCTTGTACACATTTTCGATATGCAGTATTTTTAAATGTTCCACATACAAATTAAATTTGAGATAACAATGAAATGTATAATTTGAACGAATAAAATTTCTGTCTATATGTATTGAAAAATATAAATATGCGTTAAATGGTGGATATGTCGATCGGTAATTATTAACATCATTTATATACACTAAAAAAAAACTAAAAAAAACTAATTAACAATTTATTCTCATTTTATCCAGTCCTTGATCGAAATTTTCACACTAATTTGCAAAAGTTTTGTCCCAATGATAACGTGGATATTAATTTTTATTATTGTCTTTACAAGATTTACCACATGTCAGAATGGATTTGGTTACAAAACTCCACCTATGGGATGGAATCCTTATAATTCTGTAAGTATAATTTGATTTCATAATAATTACGTATTATTGATATGCTTAACTAACTTTGTTAATATTTAAAGTTTGGTCTTAATTATAATGAAGCAATAATTAAGCAACATGCAGATACTATAGCCAGTGAAGGCTATTTGGAAGTTGGTTATAGATATATAAATCTTGGTAAAATTAATTGATTCAATAATCATATATTAAGTATGTCATCTAAAATATCATCTATATATTTTTTTATTTATAGATGATGGCTGGCAAGCATATTTTATAAGAAATATATTAGATAAGAAAAAACTAGTTCCTGATTTAATTAAGTTCGTGTTATATACAAATATATTTTGTTAAAATAAATTTGGCGAAAATATTAAACCTATAACCTAACTTTTTTAAGATTCCCTTCTGGAATAAAAGGTAATCTATGTATTGCGCATTACTTTTCTTAATAATATTTATATGGAAGCTATTGTAATGACAAGAATATTTGCCACCGAAATCAATACATATATATAAGCTAAATGCTCTAATATTTAAATTAGCTACAATAAATACGTTATAATCTAAATTTTATGTATTTAATATTAAAAAAAAAAATTCTTTATAACTAAATGATTAATTTTTAGCTTTTTTTTTTAAAGCTCTTGCAGATTATATACATGATAAAGGCTTGCTTTTTGGAATTTATTCAGATGCTGGAACTTTAACTTGTGGTGACCGTCCTGGGTCACTTGGTATTTATTTAATTTTATTTTTTGACACTTGGCTAGAAAGCTTTAAACCATACATTAATATAAGTAAATTTTAGACCACGAATATATAGACATACAAACATTCGTAGAATGGGGTGTTGACTATTTAAAGTATGATAATTGCCACGATCAAGGAAGACCTACACAACTACGTTATAAAGTAAGTTATAAAGTACTCAAGCCAAGCTTTAATTGTAATATTAATATTTATTATAATTGTTATCTAGGTAATGGGAGATACAATTAATTCTGTAGCCACAGCCGCAGGCAAAAATAAGACTATTTTCTATAGCATCTGTGAATGGGGGTAAGATGAATTAGCAAAAACATTTTAGTAAAACTATTATGCTTGTCTAAATCTATAGTATACTAAAGCATATATTTTAATATTTTATATTAGGACAACTAAACCTTGGTTGTGGGGATCTGGTGTCGGAGGCAATAGGTAATTATTCATATCTAATTATTTCAAAGCTTGCTGCCATATTATAATAAATATAATAATTATAATTAATAAATAATTTATTGTTATTTAAATAAATGAATTTTAGTTGGAGAACAACTGGTGACATTAATGCATCCTGGCCATCGATTGTATCAATAATAGATTCACAAATAAGTATTACAGGATATGGAGGGCCAGGAGGTTGGAATGATCCCGATATGCTTGTATTAGGTTTTGATGAAATAACTTATGATGAGCAAGTAACACATTATGCATTTTGGTCCGCCATGAAGGCCCCTTTAATACTTGGATGTGATGTAAATTTTGTTAATTAATTTTTAATTTGATTATTTGATAAAAATGCCAATAATAACTCTAAATTGCACTATAGCTTACTAAGATTAGTGATACATCAAAAGCATTAATATTAAATAAAGATATAATTTCTATAAATGTAAGTTTATTCCTTAGTATTATGGTCTATTCTTTGTTTCTCATTAAGCATCTTAAAAAAATTCATAATATGCACATTTAACTCTGAAATAGCAAGATTCTCGTGGATTATCAGTATGTCAGGTTTACAATAAAACTGATAATAAAGCTTCTTTTGATATTTGGACTGGACCACTTAGTGATGGATATGTTGCAAGTTTGTATTAAAAATCTTTATACTTTATTAAACTAAACTATTAAATCTTAAATAAAATTAATTTGTTTTATTTTTAATTTTTTTCTTAGTTTTATTTAATCGTGGAATAGAACCAATAAGTATCACATTAGATTTTGAAAATCATTGCCACCTTACAGGTACTATTGAGGTTTATGACCTTGTAAAACAACAATCTAGAGGAGACTTTACAAATAAGTATGTTCAATATTAAATTCAATTCCTACTTTTCATATTACCGATTGCACTAATTGAATAAATAATTTTTTAAATAAATGATCACCAGTTATACTGCAGTAAATATTCCAAAACATGGTGTAGAATTTATAAAACTCATTGGTGGAAATATTATTGACAATAATCGTCCATGCCTTAACTATTAACAAAGGTGCATAAAATAATCATATATTCCCATATTTTCAACTCAGATAATCCAGCTTGATATGCATACAGACTAGTAGATATCTTCTTAATTACATAGAATGCTACCTTAGATTAGCTATTTTTGGTTTAGCAATATACTATTAAAAATTAAGCTACGTGTTTTAATATTAATATTTTAAATAGGATCTTGTTTTCTTTTCAATTTAAATTTAATTATATAAAGTAAAAACAACAAATTCTACATTTATTTAAGGTTAAACCTTTATTAAAATCTTAATTTCTAATAAAAAAATAAAATTATATGCACCTATAGTGCATTTTAATAAACCCAAAAGATGATGCAATGTGTTATAAAATCTAAAATTGAAAAAAACGATTAGTTGGTTAGTTGACAATTAATCAGTTGAACTTTTTAGATATCTAAATAATTAACTAATTGATATAAAATACTTAAAAGGATAAAGATAGTCCGAAAAGAAAATGAATGAATATAAAATACATTGTACGATCGCGCAACCGGACGACAATCAGGTGATTGTTATATTCAAAATCAGCTAAAAATGGAAATACTAATGCTGTATACGAATTAGCTAATTGTTATGCGAATGGTATTGGTACAATTAAAAATCAGACAAAAGCTTTTGAATGGTATATGAAGTCTGCTGAATCAAGTGGTGTGCGGTTTGCAGATCAAGAAATTGATGATTTCTGATTCTGATTTTCGATTTGTTTATTATTGATTGTTCAAGTGATTGTTTGGTGTGCGATGATTTCTGATTCTGATTTTCGATTTCTGATGACGTACATATGTATATCAGCTACGTACGTACGTATATAATATTTTATATAGTTATTAAAAATATGCGCGTGGTATCAAACGGAGGTAGGTGATTGGCGCAAAACAGTATGATCAAAGCCTATCAATCACCTGCCGCCGTTTTACACCCACGTACATAATTTTAACCCTCCGAAAAAATAATTACCCAACTAATCGGTTGAAAAAATTTTAATGATTTGTAACACTAGTTATGTGTATTGAATATATTTTAAAAATATGGATAGGCTTGTTGTAAGAAAATTTTTCGTGTATAACACACTGCAGGAATTTGAGGATCAGGAATCTATTAAATGCAAACCTAGGATTTGCTAAAAAATATACTAGCCAATTTTAGGATTTATCCGAGTTTTGCCAGTAAGTATACTGTATTTGTAAGACAATTGGCGATTATTTGGCAATATAAAGAATTGTTTGTTAACGTAAACTTTATTTTTATGCTTTAAACTTTTTATGGTTTCTTTCATTCATCAGATTACATTTTAAGTAATCCACAATCATATCATAGCTCATTAAAGTAACCAAAAGAATTTCATTTTAATATTTCTTTAATATATTGTCATGTTATAAAACTGCTAACACGTATTAAAGCTTGATTTTTGCCACATATAGTCTTTTATTAAATAGAATTTTATATAATATCACGAATGTGCACTAATACGCATAAATGCATACACATGAAACCGCATTGACCCATCTTTATTGATGAGAAAAATGCGCATTGGTCCATCGCTTGTTGAAATCCTAAATTATTCAAAATACTGTTGTACCTTATAAAGTTTTACCGATTCATGCGTAAACTGTAATTTTTTAATTGATGAGTGCAAACATAATGATCAGTTCGTTATATAAAATTTTTCTTAGTTGGATCCATCAGATACATCCGGATTATTATAGCGCTTTGCAAAAAGATGTGACCCCATGATTTTCATGATGATGAGCATGGAAAATTTCTAATATTCTAAATTGTCTATTTATTTGAAATTGGTAAGATTTTTAAAATCTACAAAATCACCGATTTTCACACAACATTGTGACCTGCAGAGGTCTCATCTTTTTGCAAAGCGCAATAATGCTTTCATCGTTTGATGTCTGAAAATGGCATAAGAAATAATAATAATAATAATAATAATAATAATAATAATAATTGATTGATGAATTATAAAATTAGAAAACTTTTTTAAAACTTCTTTTACGATCGATATGTATTGTTAAAATCAATATTTCTTTTTTAGGGCCCTACTTAGTGATTGGCGCCGTAATCATGTGATGCTAATTGTCACGTGGTAAAATATATAAAAATCAACAATCTAATTGTTG